CCCCAAAACCCCAAAACCCCAAAACCCCAAAACCCCTATCATAAAATTTTATATTGATAGTATAAAACGCATGGAAGAAAATTTTGAAAGGGAAAGTGCCTCCTCCAGAAAGGGAGGCCTAATGCAAGAGGTTACCACAAAAAAGCCAGAAGTAGCACCCCCTTCTACAGAGCTACATATTAGCCTTAAAGAGGAGATCAAGAAAGAGCCTGAGATTGATCAAAAATCTGAAAGAAAATTAGAGCAAAAAGAAGAGGAAAAGCATGAACAAAGATTAATGACCTCTGGAAGTAAGGAAGGAAGCTCAACTGCTTCTCCAAAGAAGCTCATCAAGATTCCGAAGCATGCTGGATCTACCAAGAAAGTGGCTTCTCCGATGGATGCAACAATAGGGAAGAATTCACCCATGAAAAACATATATAAAAGCTCTGGAAAAAGTGTTAAATCCAAGTATAGAACAATGAAGAGCCTTGATAAAGCAAGGAGGTATAAAGGTGGTCTGGCTTCTTCCTTCAGTAAAATGTCCTCATCTAGCAGCCAAGGATTCAGGACCCACTATAATACCAGGCAAGGGAATAGGAGTAAGATCCCCAATGGATACAGAAGTTTGATGACATTGCAAAGAGCTGGCCCTGGCTCCTATAATCTCCCTCCTTTACTAGGAGGTTTCATCCATCAAAATAATAAAAGGAACAATCCAAGATATTCTATTGGGAAAGCCTCGAAATATGAAGTTCAGAGTATGACCAAGGAGCAACTTCAGAGGAGTCCGGGGGCTGCATCTCCTGGAGTTGGATCTTACAGCCCAGATCATAACAAATTTCGAGCTGATTCCCCTAGAGCAACTATTGGTAGAGAAAGAAGGTTTATTCAACTGAAATCCACTAAGACTCTAAAGAGAGAAGTCCCTCATGCTTATATTAAACAAGACAAGAGTGGTCTAGGATCTACACAAGGAAGAGGGTTTACTAAAGAGAAGAGATTTGTTGTAGTTGCCATGAAGAATAGGGATAAGTTGTCTAACCCTGCTCCTTCACACTACAATCATCATTTACACAATACCATATCTTCGAATTTTGGAAATCTTAGAAATAAGGATAGAAGTGCTACTAAAGTAAGCAACTCTGAAAATATCTATGGTTTGGGAAATATGGCTTAAACAATTAGATAATGAACTTTTTGCGTTGACTCTTATCTCATATATTGTCTAGAAGTACCATAATAAGCCTGACTTCAAAAAGCAAAAGGGATGTTATGGGAATGAGAGCTCTCCCGGACCAGGCGCTTATGACAACCATCTGCAGACATCTAGTCTAAGCAGAATGAGGAGGTCGCATCATAACTCTTTCACAAAAGTAAGTATTCTCGTTTAGCTGGAATTTTAGTATAAATTCTTATCTTTATTCTAGTCAGAAAGGAACTTATTGCCAAGCAAGAAGTCGATGACTAATGAACCCAGCCCAGCTAGCTACAAGCCCCAGTCCTTCATTGGCAAGTGTAAGGGTGGAGTCATTGGCACTAGAAAAAGTATTGACTTTACACAGCTTCACTCCCAATTCAAAGGGTTGATCAAGAGAGGGCTTGTCTAGTAAATTATTAACAAGGATCAATTTCAATTGGCATAAATTCCCAAGGGGTTTTGGGGTTTTGGGGTTTTGGGGTTTTGGGG